CCGCCCCTGGTAGAGCTGATACTCATGTAAGAGGCCCCCCAGGCTGCCCAGACCCCTCACATGGGTACCAGCTGTACTCCCCTGATGTCAGTGTTCTATCAAAGTTTGTGACTACGTTACAATGTGTGACCAGTGACGTTGTCACACATTTCAATGTAATCCCGCCCAGTTTTTTGGCGGTGGCATGTGTGACCGCCAATAGGTCAAGCATTCCAACGCTTTCTCAGCAGATCAGCATCACAAATCGTATGCGCAGGAGAACCGATCTGCCCTGGAACAGCTGTTCGGTCCTGAAATGTCACTTCAATACGTCTTTTATATTTTACCCAACAGAAAAATTTCCCCCAAAAAATTTAGGGTACTCTTGGCATGGCCAGGAAGGGGGTTTACCACCCTGGTCTTTAAGTGGTTAAGGTAAAAAAAAAAAAAATGTAAACTTGGCATTAGCTTTGCCACATTTTCTGTTACTGAAACTCTCACCTCTATATTATCTATGTAGACTTAATTTTGGCAGTCGCTTCATCTTTATTATCATATAAACAAAATAAGTAATTCGCTTTAACAATTGTTAATATAATACGATTACCTCAAAGCCTCAGAGGATAACAATTATAAAAGTGCCACTATGTAAATATGCTTTATTAGTACTCAGCTCGCTAATGTAAGACATACCTCCAGTCAGCCTACCTATTTATAGTGATGGGGCTATAGATCCTAAGGATGCACCTTGTTGGGAGGAGGGGTAGGCACTACCTTTTATTCCATGGTTCTAATTTTTTTTAATTTTTTTTTTTTAAATCCATTAGGCCAAATGTTTGCTAAAAGCACTGCCATAATTAAATCTCTTTAAAGGAGAACTATGGGGCTAGGGCTTTTCCCCATAGTTCTCCTTAGGGTAACGGGAGGACACAAACTAGCGTCCTCCCATCACCCTAAGCTCAGTATACCGCAAGCTACAGCTCGCGGTATACTGAGACGCTGCAGTATACCGCAAGCTACAGCTCGTGTTATACTGAGACGCCGCAGCTGATGCGGATCCAGACAATTATGTCTGGATCCGCCCAGCTGCGTGAGTGACAGCTGGCTCTCCCTATCTAGAGGCAGAGCCAGCTGTACCCGCCCCCTCCCTGTCCGTTCCGCCAGTCAGCGCTGGAGGATCGGAACGGGGAGGGGAAATCCAGTCCCTCCCCTGTCACGGCAGAGAGCCGTGACAGGATCGAGAAGTGAGCGAACGCTGGTATGAGTTCGCTTACTTCCCGATCTACTGAGCCAACCTGTGACAGTTTCATTGTCACAGGTCGGCTAGAACTATGAGGTGAGTGAAAAGCACTCACCTCATAGTTCTCCTTTAAGTATACTACAGCGCATGCATTACTTTACATTAACCCAAAGTCTTTCATGCACTCCAATACATACAGAGAGTTAGCTAAGGACGTAATAGATGCTGCTGCAGGCAGAGCTGAGAATCCCATTTTGCATGGCTACATTTTATTCAAGAATCCAGCTCCTGGCAAAGGAGTCTTGCTAGGTATGTGGAGCATAGTGAAAGCAGAAGAGAACTGTTTAATCAGCCTCCAATGACAGAATAAAAGAAACAATAAAGCCCTTGATTAAGTGTCAACCAGCTTGTAACCATGAAGTCACCTGACTGCACATTTAGCAAGCACCTGCACCAACACACTTTTTATAAAGAGGAAGAAAAGGATCAAACCATTTTAAGAAACAAAAGGAGGTGCTCTGATGCCAATCTCACAACATGGTCTATCACCATTATTATTACTAATAGTAGATGTGTGTTGATCTTCTGTAAGCGATCCCCCCCATCATGACAGCCTTGGACCATAGCCATGTCCTTAGACTTCACACACACACTGTCAAACTCACATCAAAAGTGATTCCTGCTCCTACTGGTCTAGCGCTACCACAGATCTTTAAGTTCCATATTACTAATACTAGGCAGGCTGCGGCTGGTATCTCCACCTTCAAGTTTTATTGCTTTCCGCATCCCCATTGGTAAGATTCTACTCATTTTCCTGTGTGATCACAGGGCCAGTAAACAATATATCCACAACAAGTTGCACTTTAACCCTTTAACCACAATATATCTGGTTTATATCCTTATCATGCTGCTAGCTGGGCCACCTAATGCAGTTACGTAAAATAGTATTTCCTCTCTAATACTACTAATTGCTTCTGTTCTGTATCTAATATATGTAATATGTATCTATATAAGCCCCTGTCTGATAGCATTCAGAGGTGACAGCTTCCAGTACAGGAGTTCTAGCTCAGCACTGTGCTGGAACTCCTGTGACCGGGTGACAGGGGAAGGCTGTGAATGCAAGAGAGGTAGCCAGTGAGAGGACGGGGGATGCCCGGAAACTTTGTGTTCCGGGGGGCCTTGTCGCCCGACACCCAGGAACTTCACGTCGCAGGCGATAATACCTGCCGCCCCTCTGCTCCCTGGGAAATTCGGCCCAGCCGTACCCCCTTCTTGGCGGTGCCCAGGGGGAAGGTGCCCCCCCATGCTACGCCACTGCCTGGATGAAAGATAAGCTTGGCACATGTAGTCTACAGGCATCATATGCCTTTTAAAGCTTCCTTTTTAATTGTGGCTGCAGTGTAGATTTAATAAGAATTATATGCGGCGACTATGCATAAAGCATTCAAATCCATAGAAACCAATCCCATGTCAGTTTACTGTACTTAAATGAAGATAACAAAGCAGTCTGATTTGTTGTCATGTGTTACTGTATTTTGGTAATTCTTGGATTACCATGTTTTGTTCTGCACTAATGATTAAATATGTTAGCATTATGGATTATGAAGGAGCTTGTTAATGCTGGGGATGGTCAGATTTTGATCTTGTTAGCAAATAAAATACTTATTGCAGATTGAGAAATTATACTTTCTTGAATAATAAAGCAAAATATACAAATAACAAATTAATAAACTGTAAAGAGTTACAAGTCTGTGTGTTTATCAAAGAAGCCAGTGTATTTATTGAATTCACACTCCGCCTCCACAGTCAGCATCTCAGCTGGCAATAAGATAGCACAAAGCAGCCACAGACAAACCGTTACTTTGCCTTATGTTGATACAGATCTGTGTAAACTATTATTCAAACAAATCAAATCAAATGTCAGCCCTATTCCAATCTGCCCAGTTCCCTCCCAAAATATTAATTATTTTAAATACTTCCTAACCAAGAAATTGGGACCAAAGGTATGATTCCATAGGAAAATTTCAGTTTATGGAAGTGATGTACACAGTTCAGGCTTAAAGAAGAATCTTTTTTAGAGAGGAGAAGTATTTGAGCCTTAGTTTTTTTTATTGCGGTCTTTATCCCCACTGGGAAGATTTCCCCTCACTTCCTGCAGCTATGACCCAAAGGCATTAGTATAAGCTGAACATCCTAAACCCACTTATTGAAGTGCAATCTTCACATACCCTTACATATAATTCACTACGGAGCCAGTGAAACTATCACTAGGCCATAGTGGAATCTATAAAAGGCATATATGGAGAATATACTTCAGGGAGTAGAGACAGAAACTTTGTCTAACAGCAATGCCCCAGTGGTCCCTTGAGGGGGAATGTTGCCAAGACAGAAAATCTTTCTTACAGTGAAAAAGATTAAAATAAAAACCTGACAGAGGATCTAGCATTTCCCCACTCTAAAGCTAAAGAAACACATTAAAAAGGGCTTTGGCTGGAGTTCTTCTTTATGTACAAGCAAATTACAACTGGAAATTGCTGATAAGGATGATCTCTGATACATAACCTATAGTTGGATCAGAACAAAAAAAGTCACAAAACCATTTAAACAGTATGCATAGTAGGCCTCCAGGCACTGGATAGGGCATCTGTAAAATAATTTGGAATAATAGAAAGGTGGCATATATATAATGTGCCTTCTTCTAGTTATTTCCTGTGGCAGCATTCCTCCCCTTCCATCTTCATTTACAGAAACAGAATAAAGCAAGCTTAAGAGTGACTCTTGCATGCTTTACACAGTCTATATTTAAGGCCTTTTATACAATCTCTATGTAACACCCTCTACGCCTCTACACTGTAGGCATATATTAACACATGCACACAGCTAGCATTAACTTATTTTTTAGTATGTGATTCAATGTAAACATGTGTGGGTCAGCCCATTATCACATTGTAGTGCACACAATCTGCATGAACCTGCTTTCTTATATATCCAGAAATGTGCATGTACATTACATTCTGTATTTCGGGAGCAAGGGTCATCCATGCTACAAGTCATATCCCATCCAAATATATGAACACATTTCATTTACTTCTGGATTCCTTAATTAAATATTTTTTTTAGTGATGGTACACACCAACTGAAAGCTGAATTGGGCAGTGGTAGTACATGCTCTGTAAGTGGATAGGTGGGAAAGAATAACAGTAAACATCACTATCAATTTACAAATCATTAGGCAAATTAAACAACTGGAATTAACCTTCATAGTGTAACTGGAAAAAAATGTTTTATATTACAGGTGCAGTCTGCCATTAGCTTTAACACAGCATTTGAAGCAACATTTTCTTTCTTTTGGAAAAAAGGTTTAAGCCACATGAATAAAATCTGTTGTATGCACTCCCTTCAATGTATGATGGTTTTTCACAACCCTGTAGCTGCAGTTTTGCTGTACAGCTTGGTCTGTTACAGGAAATAAATAAAATTAGGGTTTTACTGGTAGATTCAACAGGTAATAAAACTATGCTACAGGGGGGACAAAGATTGCTACATTAATGTTATTATTAGACTGTATCCTATATGTAATTTTTTTTTCCCACAGTTACACTTTAACAATGTAGTATATGCCACTGCTTAAAGGAACATGAGCAGTTACGTAACACGTGTAAATACAGTTAAAAGAAAAGCTATTACAACAATTACATTATTTGTAATCATTTTAAGTAATGGGAATGTTCTCTCCTCTGGAAGGTTGACAAGTTTAAATATTTTAGGTTTAAATACTAACTGTTATCAAGTGCCCACATGTTCCCTGTAATTGGCCCATTCTGTGTCCAGCGAACTCTTGTGTCTCTCGTCAGTGCTGCATTTGGAAGAGGAATAGTAATTCTATTCCACCTGGATAAAAAAAAATATTGATATAAGTGTTAACAGAAGATTATAAATATTAAGCACTTTAGAAATAAATACATTTTAATGTGAAACACACATATATAAATAGAATCTGTCTTTGTGATATTTAGCTGACTTAGAATCTACTGTCTGCAGTTGTCCTCCCCAACCATAAGACACACTAGTTTTGCAGCAGGCTTTTGCTATTAATTTCTAGCTGTGTACTAAACTCCCCACCTTTATCTAAAGCCTGGCAATAATGGAGTAGAAGTTTTACCTAAATGGAGCAGAAATTTTAGGTATAAAGTAGAAGTAAAACTTCTACTTTATACCTACTTCTACTTAATGTAAGGGGGCATTAAACTGGCCACCAATGTGAGGCAGTGCTAAGCTACTAGCCACTAATGAAAAGGGCCACTACACTAATGACCAACAATTTTAGGGGGCACTACACCACTGACTAAAAGGGGGAGCTTTACCACCTTGGATATTAAGGATTTATTTTGGTTGGTTAATAGATACCAGCGCTGCACAGTTGATTCATTGCATCACATCTAGCAGTGTAGTGTTTATACTGGAATAGTGCTTAAGAGTTTGGCATGAAGCTGTGATGAGTGCTGGAAGTTTACCACTTACCACTAACATAAGGGGGCATTACACCACTGACCACCAACCTAGAGGACACTTTACCACTGACCACCAATGTAGGGGGGACTAAACCCAGGATTCAATAAAAATGTTCAATGCATAAACATAACAAACTGAAGATAATATTAAAACAGTAGAAATGGTACTTCCCTGCTTGGTTATTTTGTTTATATTTTATAAATGTTTAAAACATGGCTAACAAATCTTTTGTAGTGCAGTTTTCTCTAGACACCAGCACATGTTTTCTCTAATTTCACAGTGATCTCTTCCCAATATGATAACAATTCTATTCATAATTACAGATTATTATGGAAAGAAAAGTGCAGCTAAGAATGGTAAGGTTGACCGAGTCACTTAACACAGACAGACAAACATATAAAAAGATTACAGGAAATACCATACCCGCTATAGTTGTCTGATGAGTAGACAGTGCTGTGGGGAAGATGGGGTCCAGCACAAAGCTCTGGCAGACATTCAGAATGTAGTAATGACCAAGACCGGCCATGATTAGTTGAAAATTCCAAGCTCACACTAGCAGTAAATATAAAGCTCCATTAATAATGTATTGATAGAAAATATAGAAATACTGATGCTGATTGAGAAATTTCACACAAATTATGTAAATATTTACTATAATTATCCAATCAAATGAGGATGAAACAGGGAGGTAACAGTGAATTTCCTTTCACATGATTGGATAACTGAAGGGAATCTTTACAAGATTTGTTGTGTGAACAGTCTCAACTTTTTGAAAGGAGAACTATGGGGTTAAGGCTTTTCCCCATAGTTCTCTTTAGGGTAAAGGGAGGACACAAACTAGCGTCCTCACGTCACCCTAGGCTCATTATACACCTCATAGTTCTCCTTTAATAATTCATCCTCAATATATTAATGTAATAGATAATCATAAAACTGGTTTAACCTCATTTTGACATTTTGGCACTATTGATTGCTTCTCTGCCACAGGCACTAAAGTATATGTTAAAGGTCTCAGCCCTGTCAGCAAATGATGTCCTGTTTATTCTCTTGGATAAAAGAGTATCTGAAGCAGTCGCGATTTTGAAAAGTAACCATACAAATTACCACATGTTTTTGTCTTGCAGCTATGGTTGTATTCTAAATAAATATATAATTATCATATGAAACACATCAAAAACTATACTCCTAGTACCATCAAAATATTTCACAGCAGGCAGATATGAATGAATGGTTTGCATTTCATTGAAGAGTCCCTTATCATTCATGCAGTATACAGAGACACTGTGTAATGTGTGCCCTTTTATGCCTTGTATTCCTGACAGGAAAGCCCTTCTGCCCACCATGGGAGTTCCTGTGATGTGTAAAGGGCATCAGGCAAGAGATATCAGCAGGATTAATTAGCAGGACACCTTTACATTCCTTCTATAAATAGCAGAGATGTCAGCTGATCTACAGCAACTATCCATTGATAGTGCTGGTTCATATGGTATAGTGAATGCATTAGAGAATTTTCTGTCACTCTGGCATCATATTTTTCTGTACCTGTTTCCTGGCTGATGAGATCCGCATCCCAAATTAATAGAGAACTGTATCATGTGGGATTCAGTGGATGGTAGAACTGCCAGCACATGGAAAAAATCTACAGCCCACACATTTACGTTGTACCCTCGGTGACTGTTTTGCTTGAGACAAAATTTGGTAGCTGGAGTCTGCAGATCTGGGCTTATGACAGTAGAAACCAGTGATGGAACCTTAAATATAAAAGAAACTTAACTATAATGGTCAAATAGCATCCCAGCATTTCATCTAATGCTTGCAGTAAGAAAAATCCAAACATTTCTAAAAATTGTCATGTGACAATATGCATAAAAAAAAGGCTGGTGTCTATCAAGTCTAGCCTTTCACAACTTCAGCAGTTTTAAAGCAAAAATGATTCACCGCACAAAGTTAAAGCCATTTATTAACATTTTAATGCAGTACGTTACTGAATTTGGAATAAATATTTTTTAAAGCTATGAACAAAACATAGTTTTAAAATGATGGTGTCTATTTTTAACCTGTTATGTCAAATGTCTAGGCAACAACCTAGAGTTTTAAAAAAATCACTTCAATAAACCGCAATGCTCAGCCAAGATGTGCTATTTTGAGAATTTTTACAGTTCAATAATGATCTATAATTGCTTACAGAATCATTACCGAAAAAACTGGAAACATTTGCTTTAATTAGTTAAAACAGCAACTGTGAGCTGGCAAATTTGACAGAATGTTCTATTAGTCGAACTAGAAAAAGGGACATTTAATCTTTTAAATAGTAGACATGATGGAAAAGGAAAGGAACACCCAACTTGTACTCAGATATTAGCATTCACAAACAAGCTTAATCAATAAATACTCATCATCTACCTTACTGTTTGCATATGGGTTAACATGTCTTTTAACATTTGATAGGATATTTTCACAAAATTATAGAAAACTCAAGTTTGGTAAACTTTACAACACTGTTTTCTCCAATGCCTAATTGAATAAGCCAGAAACTGTGCTCAGATCGAACCACATTAAACTGCTTTTTTTAACTTTAATTTTGGAGCAAGTGTTAATCATATTCAGAATGTATGCAATGTTCATATAATGAATATAAATCACTGTGTCATAAAGTTTTCCAAACTTGAGCTCTCTGTTACTCTGGGAATTCATCCTACATTGAAGAGAGTTTTACATCCCGAAAGGCATATAGGCTCATACGCAAACAAAGTATGTATCAGAATGAAGAGACTTTTTTTAGCTGCCAGTGCCCTTTACAAGAACATAAACACACTTTTTAAACTTGATGGCCACAAAAATTCTTCATTAAGAAAATATATGTAGTTTCTTATTTTGAAATACATGAATTAAATGTGAATGTCATCAGAGAAACCGGAAGGTTATTGCTTAATTTTCCTTCTTAAGATGATAAATCTCTGGAATTCATGCTGACCTTCGTAGAGACTGTTAACTTTGCAAAGTGAATGTTCACTTAGCTTAATGAATAAGGTGAAGCTGATTTCACTCTGAATCATGTAAAAGGTAAAGAGAAAGACAGTATTTTCCTTGCACTTTATTGTATAATTATAGGAAGTACAGCTTACCGCATTGCTAAGACTTTAGTCAATCCTCGGCTGCCTGGACTTTTAAAAATTATCCAGCTTTGCTAATCTGTATGCCTGTTGACTAATTGGTTAGAATTACCGCCAACCAACTAGCATTTTCAGAAGAAGACAGGCAGTGCCAGTCCATGTATTTCTCTCATCACAGGTTTACATTCAGGCTTAGATATGTGTCTTTATTACTATGAATGGTTAACTTAAAGGAGAACTATGGGGTCAGTGTTTTTCCCCATAGTTCTCCTTAGGGTAACGGGAGGACACAAACTAGCGTCCCCCCGTTACCCTAAGCTCAGTATACCGCGAGCTACAGCTCGCGTCTATACTGAAACACCGCAGCCGGAGCGGATCCCGACTTAGATGACGGGATCCAATCTCTGTGATCTCAGATTTACCTTGTAAGAAGAGAATGCCAGTGTATCCATAACAATATGTTCCTTCTTGCCATCCACCTCTGCATAGAGGAGAACATCGTGCTCATGCGATTCTCCTGGGCTGCAGAGTCCACCTAAACGTGAACATGTTGAAAACAATTATATGATAACCAAGCATAACAAAAGGCACGAAAAGATGTGTAGCTCAACAAAATGTATTTGTTTCCAAGATTTATTCTGTATACTGCTCATTCATTATTGTATTGGAGTTACATAATCAGATCCTTTAGTAATTTAAGGGTGTGATATTGGCCAGCATTTCACTAACATTATCACACCTGTTTGCAAACCTGCTCTGGTTTTAATGCTGCTAGCCTCTAAAATTGAACCAGACCTAAAAAGTAACGGTTACATAAGTTTGAATGATTTTTATTGGGTTTTTTTTTTGTTTACTTTCAAAGGAAGGGCTTGGAAGCATTGTGAAAGGGGCGGGGCTTTTATGTTTTATAATTCAAAGTTTTATCATTGGAAAATAGTGTGGTATATTGGGGGCGGGAGGGCGTGGGTAATAAGTGAGTTTTGTAAATTAGCAATGCTACTGGCAAACAATTAAAAGCCTTGGTAATTTAAAAAAAGTACTTAATATAACAGCAATACAGGCATTTTGTTGAATATGTAAGTACCTGTATTAGTTTTCTATTAATTCCTGGATCCATGTACAGTCCCTTTGTATTTTCACATTTGCACAAAGAGTATTGGCTTCTTTAGTTAAGTTAAAGCCCCGTGCCAAAAAGGGCCCCAACATTGTCAAATGCTAAATGGGAGTGTGTATGGCCAGCTTTAGTCACAGCAACCCTCTTCTTCCAACATCGCCGCTCCCCAATCACACACCTCATGGTCACAGCATTTCCCTCCCTCTCTCCTCCACCCCAACTCCACTGCGACAGTTAGGTTTAGCAATGTATTAACTTTAGAATAAAACAAAAAACATCATAGTTTCCCTTTAAAAAAGCAAAACTTCCTGCACCAATAATAAAAAAACAAGAATAACAGATCTTAAACTTATAAACTTTGACCATTCCAAAAATGTATGACTGCATACTGAACTACATAACAGTTCTGTTGCTGAGCTAACAGTTTCCATTATCTCTAGATTCGGAAACACTTTTTCCTGTTGTTCCTCCAGGTGTTTAGCAAGTCTAGTAGACATTGGCTTCCTGTGATCTACACAGGGGACAGAAAAAGCAGCAGAAGCTTACCACAGATTATTTAGGAAATATCTACTGAATAATGTTTCTGAACATTTACCTAGTGAGGTCAAATTCAGGCCATCATGTGATATTAAAGTGACAAAAAACTCAGGAATTAAATCTTAAAAATGCATTCAGCTTCCCTAACTGTTAACAAAAATGTTGATTATTTGTGTAGCTTGGAGCAGTGGTTACTTTACAACACACACAAAGACAATGCGGAACAAAAGTAGCCACCCTTACAGAAGGAAGGACAGTGTCAGCACCAATTCAGAGATGATTTGAGGATCTATAGCTGAGTGATACACAAATAAGATGCATTTTTGTTAATAGATAATGTACTTGAATGCATTTTTAAGAATTAACTCCTAACATTTTAGGGCGTATTCTTTACATAGGGTCTAAAGAAAAAAAAAACATATTACCAATACAAATTGTTTACACAGCATTGAGCCATATTTATCAAATGAAACCTGTTCTTTAAAATGACAGTTGGAGAAAGATATTTGATTGGCTTGTCTATAGGGCAAGATTGACAGCTTACATAAGACACAGTGGTTTTGATTAACTAAGAGTAGATAGAGCTAACTTTGCAAAATCAACTTATGTTTACTTTAACTACCTCCGGGCCGGCCGTAGTAAAAAAACGGCCGGCCGGGAGCTCTCTAGATCTGAGCGTGCGTCTTTAGACGTCCGCTCAGACACGCCCCCCTTGTGCGCGCCGCTGGGCGCGTGCGAGCGGGATAGGACCGATATTTAAAAACAGGCAGCGATGCCTGTTAACATACAAGCGATCTGCCGGCTGTATAGCCGGCGGATCGCTTGTATGGGGTAACGATCGGTGCGTCGCCTATGGCCAATTTTGGGTATGGTAGTTTTCTGCGATTTCGCAGGTGCGCGCAATTTTAAAGCTTGACATGTTTGGTGTCTATTTACCCGACGTGACCCCGACTTTTATATTTTACCAAAAAACTGGGTAATAATAAATGTTTCCTAACCTAATGTAAAAAAAACTATTTTATTTCTAAATTTTCAGTAATTTTTCCTAATTATAGTAAAAAATAAAAACCGCAGTGGTGATTAAATACCACCAAAAGAAAGCTCTATATGTCCCCCAAAAATGGTATAAAATTCATGTCAGTCAAAGTACCGCAGCGCTGAATACTGAAAAATGGCCTGGCCAGGAAGGGGGTCTAAACACCTGGTCTTCAAGCAGTTAATCATCCAATCAAATTCTGTTTGCCGAATTTCCCTGCACACAAGTGGGCATTCAAGTGAACATTGCTTCACTTTTCTAAGTGAACATTCTCTAATCCTTTAGTAAATTATCAACATTTAAATATGAGGCCAACTCTGAGAAGGTAGCTTTCTAGCTGCAACAGGTAGTATGTGAAAATCCCACCACATGCTAAATTGTTACGTGACTGAATGTTTTAGCTAGGCTCTATAAAGGCATATTCGCTGTAGCCCGTACAGCTCCAGAACTTGGCCGAGCGGCTCAGTCGAGCCGAAGGCATATGCCTCGGCTCGGCTGAGCCGTGCTGAAAGCCAAAGCTGGCCGAGCGGCCGGCCAACAGCCTGCTTCTGACAGCCACTTGCAGAGAGATCAGCGTCCCTGGTTACCAGCTGACCAGGGACACTGATCTCCAGACAGCCTAACTCTCCCGGGCGCTCCAGGAGTCTCCTGCTCCCGGCCGCCCAGGAAAGAAACACTGCCTTTGAACTGCTGCAGTTCTCCATCAGGTCCCCACTACTGATTGACAGCAGCAGAGGGCGGGTACAATAGCTAGTTTGCTATTGGCTATTGAAATAGCCAATAGGAATCTAGCAATGCATTCCTATGGCCAAATTTTTTTTTTCTATTCTGACACGGCTCCGTGTCAGACGGCAGCAGAACCGCCGGCCAATAGAAAACTGTTGGGCGGAGCTAGCTGTCATTGCTAGCTCCGCACAATCGTTGCTGAGCTAGCAACTATTGTGCGGAGCAAGTAGCCTGTCGGAGGTTCGGCTTAGCCGATCCAGATGTTGGATTGGCTGAGTCAAACTCCTTCTGCACTTCACGTCGGCCGAACATGCTGAGCATGTTCGGCCGACCCAAAGCCACCCGATGTATGGCTGATTTCAGCTGATATACGTCTGGGGGAAAAAAAGTGGATAGCCGAACAGCGTTAAGGTCTCGCTTTAGGTCGGTCATTCACTCAGCTGCCTACGGGAGCTGAGTGAATAGACCCCAATGTAAAGTAAAAACACTGCAAGTAAGCATTTAAAATACTTTTACCTGCAATGTTTTAAGTTGGCAACAAGGTCTCTTTAAGCATATGAACTGATGTGCACATTCTGTGGTGCACCTTATTGGAACAGTAGGCACAAAGGCAATGTCATTTGGATGATCAATGTGCACAACATACTAGAACCACACTGTATGCATTGCATATCAGTGTACAATCAGATCATGATTTGTTGTCACTGATCACTGCACATGTTTACATGTGCTTGTGGTCCCACAATAAATGCACTTTCAATGATTCTTTCTGCTGGTGTTCTTTTATTGTAGTAAATCAACCCCACTGTGTAGTGGGTAATACATCACATTCCATTGGTCTAATTCTTTATGACTTTATACCAGTTTTGTTCTGTAGTGGAGTTAATTTACTCTTTCTTTGATGTTTTTGTATTTTCTTTAAAGCTGGATGCCAGGTAAATATATAAATACAAATTATTGCAGTTGTGCTTTTATTATAAAATAGGATTCTTGTACTCACTATAAAATCCTTAGAGTCCAATGAGGGACACAGCAAATATTTAACCTTTGAGTTATACATATACGCCTACAGGAATGTTGGACACTGGCAAACAAAAAAAACTGACTGTTTTGTAGCAAAGCTGTACTGAGAACATGATCATAAATACAGAGTGGTGGTATCTATGTCCCTCAATGGACTCTAGTGATGCACCGGTACCGAGTATTTGGGCGACTACTCGTACTTACCCAATTGCTCCCGATGCCTATCCTGATACCAGATTTTCCGGTATCAGGAAGCCAGGCGGCGAGTCATTACACGCTGCCTGGCTTCCTGATAGGCTGGGAAGCTGGCTCCATGCTCCCCCGTAATCAGGGAGCATGGAGCTGGCTTCACAGTCAATCATGAAGCCCCCAGTTTATTGACTTACCCCACCGGCTTTCTGATAGGCCGGGAAGCCGTCTCCATGCTTCCTCGCCCTCGTCACCAGGAAGCCGGGTGGCGTGTAATTACTTGTCGTTCAGCTTTCTGATTGGTCGGGAAGCTGGCCAATCAGAAGGCCAGGTAGCAAGTCATTACCCACCCACCCCCAACTTCCTAATTGGCCAGAAAGCCGGCTCCATGCTCCCTCATCACCCGGTGATGAGCAAGCATGGAGTTGCCTTTCCGGCCAATCAGGAAGCCGTGCGCTGTGTAGTGACTCATCGCCCAGCTTCCTGATTGGTCAGGAACCTGGTCAATCAGGAAGCCAGTCGGCGAGTCATTAGCTTCCCCCCTGGCTTCCTGATTGGTCAGAGAACCTTGTGACATGGGAGCATGGAGACAGCTTCCTGTCTAATCGTGAAGCCGGGTGGCAAGATATTACACGCCACCTGACTTCCTTAATTGGACTTCTGGTATCGATATTTGGTATTGGCGAGTACCGAAAAAGAAATTCCCACCCCCCAACTTCCTGATTGGCCAGAAAGCCGGCTCCATGCTTCCTCATCACCTGGTGACGAGGGACCAGTGGCGTAACAATCGCCATAGCGATCCAGGCGGCCGTTATGGGGCCCGGGCACAGGGGGGCCCGGCCAGGGCATCCCTCTTATGCCGTGTGGGCCGCCTGGGTCACTATGGCATGTAAGGGTGCAGGCTGTCACTGACACAGCTCTACAGCGGCATTTCCCCTCATAGCCGCTGCGGAGCTGTGTCAGTGACAGCCAGCAGCTATGGTAGAAGAGGCCAGCGTTCGCAGTGAAGGAGGAGGCGGGGCCCGCCTAAGAGCTACTCTGCCTCCTCTTACAAAACTGGCCAGCGACCTAAGAGCAGGTGGGGTCACTGATGTAAGAGGAGGCGGGGCCCGTCGATAGAAGAGGAGGCGTGGCCCGGTGACCACCGAGGCGGACAGCGCTGACAGGTAAGAGGTGTGCAGCTCATCTGAGACCCTGCAGAGCCCACTATAGAGAGTCTATGGTGGGCTCTGCAGGGTCACTCTCAGGTGGGCTGTTTGGTATATCAGGTGGGCTCTGCAAGTGGCATAACTAGCAATCACGGGGCCCCATACAAAATGTTGCTATGGGGCCCCAAGATTCTAGTTACGCCCCTGCGAGGGAGCATGTTCCCGGCTTCTTCTTATTGGGACTTCCAGTATCGGTATTCGGTATTGGCGAGTACCAAAACAAATATTGGTATTGGTGCATCCCTAGTCGACCAGAAACACAGAAGGGTGGGACCTGTGTCCCTCAAAGAACTCCCAAGAGAAGGATCTTACGGTGACTAGAAAAATACAGTTTTCTGTTTTTGTTCATTGAGGGACACAGAATTCCAAGAAAATTGAGATGTCAAAAAAATTTAGGCAGTGCTAGACTCTGACAGCTAGAGGCATGACTTCCAGTGGCAAATGCATACTGGGTTTTGTATTGTCACCACAGCTGGAGGGCAGGAGTTTGCCTTCCTCTGCTCTAGGCCTTAATACCACATTGTCCTTGGGTATGGCCAGAAAAATGTCTGTACATGACAAAGCCACCAGTTCAGACACAGGCCTTGCAAAGGTGATGGTGGCAAAGAGTGCAACCTTGTGAGTGAAAGTGGAAAGGGGAATATCCCTAATATGTAAAAATTGCATTTTTTTAAGAGCTGAGAAAACAATATTTAAATCCCACAGAGCAACAAGTGGGTGCACTGGGGCAGCTGCAAGCAAGAGATGTTCAAAAAGCCAGAGGTGACTGGTCACTGCAGGCAGTAGCAAGGACTAATTGCTATGAAACCGTGTGTCTCTTGCAGTTAGCAGTGGCAGAAAGGTGCAAAGGTACAAAGTAGTTACTGGTGCTCAGCCAGCACAGCCTACTCATTAAAGTGTCTTCAGAGACTGGGTCACACCAGTGGTTGTGTCATGGCTCGTGTGTAAATTTCAGCTTGAACTATTGAGCTATGTAAGCAACATATAAACATTCTTAATTTTTTTGTTTTAGTCCTAAAAGTAACAGTTGAAGAAATACATACAAACTACACATTCCCTTTAAAAGGAGAACTATGAGGTGAGTGCTTTTCACTCACCTCATAGTTCTAGCCGACCTGTGACAGTCAGACTGTCACAGGTCGGCTCAGTAGATTGGGAAGTGAGCGAACACATACCAGTGTTCGCTCACTTCTCGATCCTGTCATGGCTCTCTGCCGTGACAGGGGAGGGGCTGGATTCCCCCCTCGCCGCTCCGATCCTCCAGCGCTGACTGGCGGAACGGACAGGGGAGGGGGCGGGTACAGCTGGCTCTGCCTCTAGATAGGCAGAGCCAGCTGTCACTCACGCAGCTGGGCGGATCCAGACATAATTGTCGGGATCTGCTTCAGCTGCGGTGTCTCAGTATACCGCGAGCTGTAGCTCGCGGCATACTGAGGTTAAGGTGACGGGAGGACGCTAGTTTGTGTCCTCCACTACTATCACAAAGTAATATCTCACAATCACCAGGGTTAAACTATCCATACATTGACTAATTATCAGACTAATAAACAGTTTTGTCCTATGCGATGAGAACATTTTGTAGCATGATGGCCACATGTGTATATGCCATGTTGGTTACCTGGAATCAGCAGGATAAAACAGAGGTAACAGTTAGAATAAACTGAAGATCTCTCTAGCCACTGTCAACTGAAAGATATATGTTATGCATTGGACCCCATTTAGCACTGTTGAAAAGGGTGAAAGTGAAAGAAAAGAAAAAAAAAGAAAAAGGACAAGGACAAGAGAATGAATACAATGCTGTTAGGCATTTAAAACTGTGAAACCTACCACAACCATAAAGGTACTGCACGCTGCAGGTGGATCGCTCAAAAATATGTCATTATATTTTTTGGAATATAGTCATACGTCCTGTTGTATAATACATAGTCTATTGCAGAATCCAAGGAATAAAATATGCTAATAAAAAAAAAGTTTTGTTAACATACCCATGGAGAAATAAAAGCGCAAGTTCCCATATCCTGTGGTGTCCATATAAGGAGTACACAATTTTCTCTCTTCGTCTTTCAGAAATACAAGAGAAGAGCCTGATTCTATTGTTCCACATTCAGTGCCAATGACAGCTCCGGAAATTTCCCACCTGGTAACAGAAAAACATCGCCATGGGGCATACATTTGCAGTATATTTATAGCAATCGTTTACAGAATTAGATTTGCATATGAATGAATATTCAAAATTACAAACATGTTGCAATTTAGGCTTTTATCTCTATATTTTGAGAGGAACTGCGTGATTTAAATGACATTTCTTTGCAAAACAGTGTATTCCATATAAGCAACATTAACTTATTATCTTTACCCACTTCTATCATTAATATCAGTTAGGATTGTGTAGCACTGGTACATATATGGGCCTTAAAATGTTTCCATAGCTTTTTTTTGTGGTTTAACAGGGTTTCCTGCACTGCACTGATAGCAATGGATGAATGCAGTGTGCTGGCAGATAAGAGGGACACATGTTCATTCCCTAATATATTTTTCAGAACTGATACCCAGCAGGGAGCACAGTTTACTACAGCAGGGTGAGCTAAAATTAACTAGAAGAATAGGACTATAAGTTTTTTGTACCTACAGTTGTTAGAGTGTCTACTTGAGAAATATTTTCCCTATTGCTTGGCATTTTCTAGCTACTCATTACCTACTATGTAATGTAGAGTTTTGTGAGAAGGTGTACAAAAAAGCTTATTTTGGACTCCATATACAGAAAATGTTAAGCATATAAAACCAAAGTATAATCTAACTACACAAAAGGGTTTTAACCTATTTACATATGGGCATGTGATGTCTTCTTTTGGGCATTGCATCTGAGCTTCTGTACTTGGCCTTTGCATTTGAGCTGCTTTTTTATGCATCATACAAGTCAGTGCAAATGCAAAAGCAAGTCAAAGCAGCCTGATACAAATCTATGAGCAAGTGAAAAAACTTAAGCACAAATCAAAGCATCTCAGAAGCACCTGAAAGTAAGTTAATGATATTAAGCATTCAGCTACAAAACGAGGCCTTTACCATTGTCTGTGATACATTTTTAGATGCTTGATTTACATTTTCAATTTGTATTAAAGAAAGTAATATTTATGAGCTTGAATCCAGATCTTTATAATCATTGCACACAATTATTTATTTAGTTTTTTGGGGGTCAGCCACTAAGGTAACTTTATATGTTTTGGGCCAGGACTTTATTTTATTTATTTCTGGGTCCCAGAATCCAGTCTACGTATTAGATACAGGTGCACATAGAAGCAACTTTAATGCATTACATACAAATGGCATTCAGCATCCTCATGTCAGTTATTATAGTAGAAAACCACAGAAGTATTGCAGCCTGCTATGAAAGAAAGCAGCATAAAAGTGCAGAAACAATCGAAACTATAACCAATACTGTATTTTTCTGTACTCCATGCAAGGGTTTATTGTAAACTTATTTCTAAATGTATTTTTTTTTCTGTTTAGACCAGTTGAAGTTACTTGCTTGAATACTCTCAATTCAAATACCAGAATTTATTTTTCCTGAAGCTAATTTTAACTATTGAACATTTACAAGATTTAATTAAATATTCTTTGTTCTCTGATGTGTAGTTAAGTGGTTAATACAAAGAATTAAATAAAAAATGTCTTCTTGACCTGGCCTTCCTGACAGTGAGAATGCAGAAATACTGCATGGCAGGACATGTTGTTCTACAGAAATGGAAGGAGTGCTGCGGATTTATTGCTGTCTCTTAACCCACTCTGAGATAATGTGTCCCCTGACATCTGACCTAGAGTGTCAGACATTGTTGTGGCTTTCTGCAAACTCTTCAGATGTCTACTGTGTATCATTAGAGCCTGAATCAATGACAGCCAAGACTGTTGTATGCATAGCACCACTTTATAATTTGGAAGCCGTAGCTCTAAGTGGCATTCAAATCCCCAAGTGGAAGAAAGAAAGGTCTACTGGGCATAGAAGCTCTTCAGATATACTATGGTTGAAATAAATGCTTGATTTAGTTGGCAATCAATTATGATTGACATCCTCTCTTTGGTTCACTGACTATAAATATGCTCTATTTACTCTTACTGAAGTAGATGCCTCTCCATTGACCCAAGTGCTAACCTAGGATTTTAATGTAGGCCATAAGTAAAGAACAAAAGGATGCACTCAGAAATAATATAATTGATAAAATACATTACAAAATGCCATCACAGCTGACTTGGATCATATTTACAGAGATATTACAAAGCATCAACAGAGTGACCAGTTCACAGACTAAAACTAAAAACACAGATTAAGGGGACATCGAAGTATACCAGTAATACCATTCTTGACATATTTAAGATTTACTTAGATTTGTTGGTACATGTAACTGTCAGAAAAAAGAGTAAGTGAGCACTGGGCCAAGCTGCGCATTATACTAGGGGCCAGAAATGCACAGCAGTACAGTACGACCCCTGAAGTGTCTGAAGCCGAATGCAAATTGAAGCTACTTACAGGCTTTAATTAATCCAAAGGGCACCAAAATAGTAGGTTCTTTTCAGCTACCATTATCCATAATAGAAGACTGCCCATAAAGCTTAGCTATTAAAACAACCCTGCAAATGTTCCCTTCCACTGTTTGAAAAAGAAAGCACCATGTATCAAACTGGGCCCATAACTCTCAGACCCCATTCACACTGAGCGGTTTAGCGCGTGATTTCTGCCGCGAAATCGCACATATTTCCACGCGATATCGCTCTATGTAGCTTGCCCAATGCATTTCAATGGAGCTGTTCACATCTCACAGCTCAATGTCGCCTGTAGCTCGTCACTGTAGCTTGTGCCTCGTACATGACCCTTTTTTTGCGCGGATGTTGCGCGATTCGGCTCCAATAGACTCTATGGTGTCGCGCAAAATCGCGCTACAGGAGGGTCACTTTTGCGCTGCAAAATGGAAGGAAAGAATGATGTCGCATCAAGATCACTGTTGATTGGTTACAGCCCAATGTAGCAGCGACGAAGTCCCGCTCAAAAAAATTGATATGTAGCGCGATAAAATGTGCATTGTCGCTCTATATCGCGCAATGTAGCTCAAAGCCGTTCAGCATGAAAACGTGTGGAAAAACGCGCAATACCCATGTCGCTCAGTGTGAATGGGGCCTAAGACTTGACACAAATGTAGATTTATATGTTAGACATGGTACCTGTTATAGTTGAAAATGTAACAACTACACATTTGTTTAAACAAGTTCACATATATATCAAGAAGAAATATAATGTTAACAGTACATGAACATATCTAACTGTTTAATGAATCCAAGTGACTTTCGATTATCAAAACTAGGAGAGACCAAATAATAATATTTATTATTATCACAATCATTATTTCTGTAAAAAAGAAAACATAATTCTTGCCTGTATTAAATTGCAGATAAAAAAAGCCCATGAACTCAACTCTACTAGCCAGCAAATAAGACTATTATATCTGCTGCTATTTAAAGAACAGAGGTCTTCTTTGCATACATTTGCATGACACAGGCACACCTTAGCCTGGCGTGCAATTTACAAATACAGTATATTGTATTGGAAAATGTTTTAATTTAATTAGAAACAGATTTAATACAGGCTCTTTGCAAGATTGTTTTTTTTATTCTGCACATTTACACTATTGCATATAACATCTACACAACGTAATTCCGTTTATGACACAGCACTAAGCACATAAAACACACATATGCTTATAAATTGTCCACTAGAATATAAAAAAAATAACTGCATGGCATATTTTCTGCTGAAATAATACATGACTATCAATCAGCAAATTGTGTGGCTGGTAACTGTACATAGTTGGTTATGTGTTTAGGTGAAGCACTGAGATCTTGAAGAATGCTGAATTAAGTTTTACTTGCTTAGAAGAACATTGCACATAAGCATACAGCATTGTGCAGAAAACAAGAAAAAAAACTTCTTGTGTATCATAGATAAGCATGCACATGGAGACAAGCACTGCAATACAGCACCATCTGCAGCTCAAAAGACATATCAGTACATTAGTATATACTGTTGCACTTCAAACATTAGGAACCTAAATTTATGTCAGTAAATTTTAATATGATAAAAGCTAGCAAGCAAACTACCCATAACAAACACTGACAGATCCCAGTCAGAATGAAAAGGATTAGAGCAGGGCCACTATTAGGCTCCTATAATATAATATAATAACCCAGGTAACCTTTTGCCATTTTGACTCAAAGCTGTGGGGCTTTTAGCATACCATGACAAAAAGTGAGTGATGCTGTTTCTTGTCACCCATATTGTCTCCTTTCTCCCTGATGTCTTCCCTCCCCCTTAAATGTCTTGGTCCCTTACTGCTGCACTTAAAATTAGTGCCCTAGTCTGTGGCTGACAGATGTCCTATTGCAGAAAACTCAAAAGAACACCCAAAAGCACTTTCAATGTCACTGCTTTCACCACATATATTGCACATCCCAAATTAAGCCATGTACCATATAAATAAGCTGATAAATGGAAATAACCATCACTGGTAATAAAAAATATGGGTATGAGATATGGGTCTAAATTGTTATTATTGAAAAAAACGAATTGTTATTTAATATGTTTTAAAGGCATGACTGAAATTAAATAAATGTTTTTAAATACTTTATTGCTTGAATAAAATATTTAAAAATACATTCCTTTAAAAATAGATAAACTACGTGATGTTCCAATAGGGTTTTAGGCATACAAGCTATAATCTCCCTGATAAATGGCTATTAATCTATTAAGTATTGCAGTGTATTAAAAATATGCATGCATGTGTGGTCATTCTGCAAGCTCAAACCCTACTGGGACTTGGTGGTGTCTACGGTCAACACAGTGACTGGTCTGCAGCTGGAGGTGGATCCCTTGATCTTCCTGCTGGGATGTGGGGACACCCTTCAAACGAACAGGCCACAAGGCTCCTCATATTTCATGTTGCTTTCTATGCTCGCAGGGAAATAATCCTGAGATGGAAATTAGCCCCCACGGTGGGACAATGGTTACACACGATTGACAGAATGCTTCCTCTCTTTAGGCTGACCTATATGAGTTGCAATTGTGTGCAGAAATTTGAGCGGATTTGGGGTGACTGGGTGGCGGCAAGGGGACTTACCTTGGAGGGACCTGGCAGAGAGACCCTACTCCCACCTAGATCCCCTGAGCAGTGATCTGAACATGTGTTGCAGAGAAAATTGTATGATCCTGTAGGCAGGACTGGGTAGAGAGGAGAGCATGCCCTTCCGGCTATAGCTAGTGGAAGTTTGGGGCTCTCTGATGGGTCCTTGGGCGGAGCCTTCTCTCCCCCCCCTTCCATCCCCCCTCTCACCCCCAACCCCTCCCGTGCAGTGCACATTCGGCGATCTGGCCTCATAGTTGCTTCATTGGATGTGCCTGCATATGGTGCGGTAGATCCACAGCTAAATGTGCTTCAGTCTTTTGTCTTACAATGTATGTGATTTTGTTTGATTTCTGGTTTTAATGTTGTACTATGTATTGTATTTTGTGCTGATTTTCTTTTGTGATATATTTTGTGGAATTTACTTTTCTTGTGCTGTTTATGGTATGTCATGTGTCTTATAAATAATAAAAATTATACCTGTTAAAAAAAAAAATATGCATGCATATACTCAACACGGAAAACCAGAAACTTGTTTCAAAAATGTTGGGGGGGGGGGGGGGATATAATGGGGGGGTGGGCGACAATGAACAA